TTGTCACTGGAATTGCAGGTGTGTACCGCTGTACCTGACAACCTTCTTATATTTAGCACTCTGATAATTCTTAACAAAAGGTTACATTAGTCTTTTTCCAGATTCATTCATATGACCTTTAGTATAAATTAAGTCCATCTAGTGCACATAGAATGGTCCCTGTCCTATACTGTATCAGATGGAATTAGAAATGCAAATAAAGAACAAAGTACTGAGTCCACTTTTATGAAATTTCAATCTCAGTGGGATTTCTATACTTCATCTGATTGATTTTTTTTGGGGGGTGGGTACTTGGGATTGGACCCAGGGTGTTGTCCCCCACACACACTGAGCTACATCCCCAGCCCTATTTATGTTTTTATTTTTAAGACAGGGTCTCATTAAATTTCTTAGGGCCTCATTAAGTTACTGAGGCAGACCTCGAACTTTTGATCCTCCTGCCTTAGCCTCCTGAATTGCTGGGATTACAGGCTCGTACCACTGTTCAGGCCCAGACTGAAAAATCTTATCCTATTAAAGAAACCATTACTAGAGTTGCTCTTTGGAAGGTAACATTATTCGTTTCGGATAGTACTCTAATAAATACTAGGAAGCAGAATAAGAGAACACCAAGAAATCCAGGTGAATGTTGGAGGCTCTGTAGGAAAAAAAGGGGAGGATATTGCTCATTCAGAAATAGGAACAGAAAGCAAAGCTCTGAGTCCATCAGATGGTAAAAGCATTCTGGTTCACATTAGAATCAGCTCCCCGTGATACTTCAAATCTTCAGTAGAGAATTTAAACCCACAAAATTTCTGAGGTTGGGTTTTTTGGTTTTGCTTTTGTTTGGTGTGGAAACTGATGTAGGGACTGAACATTGCACCCAAGCCTGCATAGAGCAGAACAAGTGGAGCTACAGAAGCAAAGACTTAGAGGATCATGAAGAAATGGCTCTCCGAAACTATGGGCAGCTGATCTCAACAAGCTAGAAAAGCAGCACTTTGCCACACTTGTGGCTTTTGCTAGGAGCATAGAGTCCCTGACATTTAGCTTCCATATCAATATCATAATTAGAGAATAGCACCAAGTAGATGGGCACCAAGTGCAGAAACACTTTGGCCTGTTATTCAGGTAGGAAAACTAAGTCATAAGCAATGGATGAGATGGAACTGAGGTATTTGTACATCAGTGAAGAGACTCCTTTGGACTTGAGATCAAACCTATCTCTCCACCCTTCCAATCAACCAACAGGAATTTACTGAGGACTTGTTATGGTTTGGTTTTGTTTGTGTATGTGTAGATTGGTTTTGTTGGCAGAACCCAGGGGTACTGTACCACGGAGATACATCTCCCAGCCCTTTTAATTGTTTGTTTTGAGACAGGGTCTCACAAATTGCCCAGGGCCTGTCTCATACTCCCAAGTATCTCTATCCATCTCTCCCTCCCCCACCCTCTCTTTCTCTCTTTGGTACTAGGGATTGAACCCAGGGGCACTTAGCCACTGGGCCGCAACCCCAGCCCTTTTTGTATTTTATTTTGAGACAATCACACTAAATTGCTGAGACTAGCTTTGAACTTGGGATCCTCCTACCTCAGCCTCTTGAGCTGCTGGGATTACAGGTGTGAGCCACTGCACTTTACCTGAGTCTCTTGATTACAGGTACATACATACCACTGTGCCTGGTTTTGAGGACTTATTTTGTACCAGTACTGAGAAAATTGCAAAAGACGTACTGTTTAAGAGTTGGTCTCTGGCCTCTAAGAACCGAACACCTAGTTAGGGAATTGATGATTACAGAAGTAGTTGATATTTAATTAACCAGGTGATGGATTCCAGGTATCACTCAGCATATTCCACGCATCACTGTCCTGATTCATCAGAACAACTCTGCAAGCTGAATATCATTATTATCATTTTACTGATGAGAAAACTAAGACCCCAGAGGCTAGAACGGCTTACGTGAGGCACAGAGCTAGCAAGTGAAAGAATTTGAGTCCATCTGTCCGGCTCCAAATGCCATCACGGAAAGGGGTCTCCATGGCAAAGATAATGTTGCCAAAACACAGATGCTGAAGGAGCCCAGTGAAGAGGGAAGAATGAAGAGGACAGGGTGGCCAGGGAAGGAGATACAGAGGACATAAGCGTGATCTGAGCTTTGAGGCTGGGCGGGCATGGTGGACAGCCAAGGTGCTCCAGGAAGGAGGATATGGAGTGCAGTATGGGATCAGGAGTGGGTGCCTGTTAGATGGAGGATGGTGAAGGGATGGATTGACTTTAGGCTTAAGAGGTCTCCCCAAGCATCAGAGTCTACCACCGCTTTTCTAGTGGGGATCCCATCCCCAGAGGCTAACTCAAAATCTACAAAATCTGCAGCTCTCATCTCACCCCGTTTGGCCAACAACTTTTTCTGGGGCTCTAGGTACACGAGTCTGAGTCTGTTTCCCCGACATAAAATTGGCGAAACGAACACAGTATGTACTTCTTTCAGTTTTGTTTTTAAAAACCTATGGTTCTGTCACTTAAACCCCCAAATATATTCATATTTATATCCAAAGACTGGAGGAAAAACTAGCTGATGAACTATCTTTCAGGATCATGGTCAGATCATCTTTCAGACATGGCTTTGCTGCCAGAGGCTGATCATTCTTTTTTTTTTTTTGGTCATAGGACAAAAGTAGCCGATTGATTTTGGATCAATGAGATCCTGGAAAAGACAGAGAGGGCTGGAGGGCTGGTATTTTCATGTCTTCAGAGCCTGGCGATGTGTCTATTACTGTCCGTCTATGTGTGGAGGAGGGTGAGGGACAGAACTGAGAGCAGGAGACCCCAGGGGGGAGTAGAAAGGCTGAGCTGGCAGGCAATCCTTAGAAGCATCCCCTTGTAGGTTGCTATTGGGTTTTGATCTCAAGTGAAATTCAGGAGAAATATTAACTTTTAAAACACTGTAAGTGGTTCAGGGGTTGGTTTTCAAACTAACTGCTGTTTTGGAAGTTCCCAAAATACATACAATAGAAAAAGAAAGAGGAAATAGTCTCAGAATAGTAAGTGCTACTATAACAATTTTGCTAGGTCAGTTCTCTGGGCTGATGAAAGAAGCTTGGGCCGCTGGCTCTGCTTCTTATCTTAGTGCTGGGGAGGTTTCTCCGTGGGTCCCTGGTGTGGAGAGCGTAAGCCCTGAACCAAGGATACCCTCTCTCTGACACATCCACACCTCCCAGCACTAGGGTTCTCAGTCACCATAAACCAGTCAGAGTGACTTTTCAGAGTGGAACAGCTCACAGGATACCTACGGCCTCCGCAGTGATTCCAAATCTCATGCTTTAGACAAAAATCAGAAGTCTTCTTAGAACTTTCTGTTTACCCCTAAACTTTTTTGATCAAATCATATGACTGTTGAAGTTGGTATTTGGCAGGGTTCACATATGTTTAATTTGGGGAAGAGAATCTGTAACCGAGTTTTTCACCAGTCAGTTCAATCAGATACCCTGAGATGACTTGATGTATGAAAAGCCCAGGAAGAAAAGAATCTTTTCAAACCCAGAAGGAAAGTTCTGGGTAGCTATTGGCTGGAGGCCCTATTGGATCTTGGTGCGATGCCGTTTATCAATTCAATGAGATCTCAGTCTATATTTTGGCCAGTTCTGTAAACACCTGACTTGTTCTGTAATGACTCAGTTCCTTTGTAACCTACCTCTTCCTTCCTTTCTGTGTCTTCCCAACAAATCCCTCACCGGTTCGACAAAAAGCAGGCTTGTTCCACAATCATCCTTAAAAGTCACCCTTATCCATTCACATTAACACCTCGTGTTTGTGCTGGAGAAATTCAGCGCTATTACATGGACGCATATTGCTTTAGGTCGACCCCCACTGTTCATCACCCTGGTGTAACTCTCTGTCTTTAGCAGGCAGCTGTACTTCTACTCCTAGACCAAGTTCTAGTTCTTGAGGTTCTCCATGCCTGCTTCCCTATCCATAAAATGGGAAGAATGAGAGTATCTACCCTGTAATATTATTGTGACAATCAAATACATCAGTACACAAATGCACACCAGCACAAACATCTGACCAACTGTATGCACTTAATAATTGCCTGATATTACTGAACTGTACGTCCTATCTACCGGGGCAGGAGGTCTCATCCACTAGTTTCCAAAGTGTTGCTCCTGGTTTCAAAAGGATTTGGTAAAGTGGCTAATGGAGAGAAAGTTATAAAGCTGACTCTCTGATTTGGGGCCTGGCTGAGCCTGGCTAATTTTAAACATGACAGTAAGTGAGAGGAAAAACGACATGCTTTTCTTCTAGTTCAGGTCTGATGAGTTCAACATAGTTATTTGCATTAAAGGACAATAATAGTACTGTTGTGTTTATTTTTTAAAATAAAGAGCAGATTTTTTTTTTTCCTTTTCCCAGTGTCTCATGAGAATGGTGTGAGGGCATGGGGATAGCATGCAGAACGAGCAAAAGTTCTTTTTGACCCAAAATGGATATGGGACTCATTAGAAATTTAAAAATAGAAATGGGGCAGAGATAAAGGTACGTTTCATTTTAGACATGGTAGATTGAAGAGGAAATGAAGCATTTTAATAGAAAAATAATCTATGGAGATTAGGAATATGGAAAGTCAAGTATAGTGAATGAAATGAGGGTAAGAAAACAAGGAAATCTTCAGTGGTCTAAAGCTGACCTTTAAAATCTAGTAAACAAAGCAGGGTATGCAGCAACCCCTGTAATCCCAGCGAGGCAGCAGGATCACAAGTTTGAGGCCCATCTCAGCAACCTAGCAAGGCCCAAAAGAGCAACTTAGTGAGACTCTGTCTCAAAATAATAAATAGTAGTTCAGTGACAAAATGCCCATGAGTTCAATATCAGGAAAAACAAACTCCCAACAACAACAACAACAAAAACCCGTAAATGAATAACTCCTCTTGGAACAGAACAGAAAGCCCAGTCTTCCCGCTTGGTCGTGGGATGTTTGTAAACTTGCAATGCTTTTGAGATTGCCCTTTTGAATTTTTTTCAGAATCAAGACAATGGGGACTGTTTGCTGGACTGTTGCTAGGAGGCATGGTGGGCGTCATCATGACTATTGAAGTGGTAATCCTCCTGTGGAGAAGAAGAGGTAGGTGTCTGGACAGTAGAGAGATTCTTACTAGACTCTTAGGTAAGCAGAGGACCTCTCCCCACAAGCCTAGACTTGCTCTCACCACTGCAGCGTTCTACGTGGAGCCACTTTTGAAAAACACTAAATAAACATCTCCTGGGACCTTGCTCAATTCCATGGAATTCAACGTGTCTTGATCCTCCATACCAACCTCTGGGAATAATAGAGAAAAGAGCCAGAGGTGTGTAATGTGGGAAACATTATGCAGTTTCGACTCAGTGGAGATATGCCCAGCAATGCTGAAGGGGTCCAGAAGAGAGGCTTGACAGTATTCATTAGAGAGGAGAATTCAGAGAATTCTTGGATCTCCTACAAAGTTTTTCCCAGGATAAACCAGGTGCAGTGGCTCAC